TATGTAAAAACGGGAAGAAATTTTGTGAATTTGTGGTTGAAAATAATTTGGGATGGCGGTTACGCCAGTGGCGGAAGGTCTGGGGTCTTTAGCGTTCCCGCGTGGTCTCCCTACAGCTCATCTTTGATGCAGTGCTGAAGATCATGTACAAGGCTGTGGTTCCCTGGAGCGCGGCCGTGGAGCAGCTGGTGAAGCAGCACCTGGAGATGGACCACCCCAAGTAAGCTGCTGCCCTCCGCGGTGTGTGTGCTCTGGGTAGCCACTTGCAGTTGTCATTGACGGGGTCCCATAGAATATCGTAAAAGGACGATCCAGCCGGGTGTGGCAGCGTGTGCCTGTAATCCCAGCACTGAGGAGGCTGAGGCACGCGGATCAACATGAATTTGAGGCCGGCCTGCATTGCATGGTGAGACCCTGCCTCAAAGGCAAAAAAAAAAAAAAAGCAATCTGCTAACATCAATAATTTTACTTTCAGAGTCAAGTTATTACAGGAAAGTTACAAACTAATGGAGATGAAGAAACTCTTGAGAGGGTATGGAATAAGAGAAGTGAATCTCTTAAACAATGAAATAATGGTAAGTTCACTAGTCGAAGAATCTGTTTTCTACTTCAAGGAAAGTTAATGACAATTCTATATTCTAAATAGCCAGTAGAAGTATATTGTCCCCTGTTCTTTCGTTAGGTACATCACAAATAGGGCGTTGAGTTATTGATGAGAATGTGGAGGGTAACAAATTGTAACTGAAACTAAAAAACAAATGACAGGACTGTCACAAAATTTGGAATATAAATCATGTTCTGAATCTTTCATATGGTTTAGTTTTTCGCCACATTATTTTAATTGTATGGCTCCTGGGCCCTGATGAGCCACTGATTCCTGACTACCCTGTGGTGGTCTGTGATAGCAGCTCTTGTGTTGTGTCTGTTTCAGCGGGTGGTCAGGTACATCCTCAAACAGGATGTCCCGTCTTCATTAGAGGACGCCCTGAAGGTGGCCCACGGGTATCGGTTGTCTGATGACGAAATCTACAGTTTGAGAATTATTGACCTGATTGATAGAGAACAGGTATGAATGATGATTTATTTAGTTATTTATTTTTGGGACCAGATCACTGAAGACCTTGTGCTTGTCAGGCGGGCATTGTGCCATAGAGCTATGAAAGTTTCTTGTTTCATAGGGCTTGTTAATTAAATCCTTGAAAATAAATCAGATGGTTCCAATTGACTTTCACAACATACTCAAACTATTAAGAAAGGAAACTATTAACGTGGTCGTTCTTTTCGTGCTTGCTAGTTCTTTAAATATAGTTAATGGATTTTTTCTTTTAGTGCTAGAAATTTTTGGGTTTTTTTTCTTTAAGGTTTGACCTCAGGGCTTTGCTGTTGCCAGGCAGGCTGTTACACTGCTGAGCTATCTCTCTGGCTTAGTACTTACTAGAAAATGAACCTAGTGTGTGTGCATTGAGCTACATGCCTACCCCATTATTATTATTATTATTATTATTATTATTTTTGGTTTTGGTTTTGAGACACAGACTTGCTAAGTTGTTGAGGTGCTCGGTTGCCCAGGCTGGGC